GCCCCGGTGCGACCATCCATGTCGCGGATGAGGGCCTCCTCCGGGTAGGCGGCCCGACCGAACGGTGGAGGCCAATCCAATTCTCCCCATTTCTGGGCAACGAGGAAGTTGGCAGTCTCGTCAATCTTGGCAGCCATGTCGAGTGGGATCACGGTGTTGTCATCCAACATGACGAGAGGGTTGATCTCCAGATAAGCAAAGTGCAGATCGGTGTAGAACTTGTACAGGCTGAGAACGAAGGATGCCATGTTGGCTTTCTTGGCAGCCGGCATCTTGCTCAGCAGCTTCTCTGTCACGATGGCCTCCGTCAGCGTCTCGCCAAACGGAAGCTCCAACTTCTCCGCCTTCGCATCCACATCACCCACATCAACACCGCCCTCGTGGTAGAAGAGGATCTCGTCGTGATAACGGTGGGACAGCATGCAAATGTAGTGTTCCTGCTCCTGCTTGTGCGGCACGAAGGGCTCGACCAAGAAGTGGTTCAACTGCCCGGTGACGTGCTCCACTTGCTGCTCCTTGCACATACGATCCATCACCCACTGCTTCGCCTCGTCGAAAGTTTTGTTCACGGCGATCAGGCCTGCCTTGCCACGGCGCTTGATGAGCTGATCCGGCTTGGCCACCAAGTTAGTCGTCTTCAGCCATGGGTTCGCTTGCAGAATGCTGTCCCAGGTCTGGCTCCCAGTGCTGTCCAGCACCGCGGGAGTCACCAGAACACCTGCACACCCCATCTTGTGCTTGCCGCCGGAGACCTCTGGCAAGTACTTCTCCAGAAGGCTCTTGCCTGCATGCTCTCGGATAGGCTTCACCGACATGTTTCAAAGTCGTTGCGACGAGAAAGACAACAAGAGAAACTGACATGGAGCCAGATGGCATTTTGGCAGTGAGAGTTGCGCAACTCAGGTGCTGTCCCTCTTGACAAATGGCTTAAGCTGTAACGCTCGAAGCTATCAACGCTTGATCACAAGGGTGCAGGCATCTGGCTTCGAGCTCATGTTCGAGCGAAAAGTTTGTGAGACTCTATTCAGGAGCTTCTGACGGTTGACGGCCACGGTAACGCACCTGCTGCTGACTCTTCCCAGGAGGCCTACATGAGTCTGAAGAAAGCTTCAACACGATAAGGAAGGCCTCGCCGTAAAGAATGCCTTAAACGCCCAAGGCCAGCATGTAAATCAAAAACATGCATGTTTTGAAATGTGCCATTCAGCAGAATGTTGCGGTGGGCCGAGCCCCAAGCCGTGATCGATGAGCGCCGTGCGTAGGGAGCATTTCCTTAGTGGGCACGGGAAGATGGGGGAGATTGGTTGCGAGTTGGTACAGGACCCGTCGCTCTTTTGACGGGCCGCTGGGGACCAGGCACGGGCATGGCACTTGCTTCAAGGAATGTTTGGTAAATCACCTCCGAAGAGACCGGACGTAAATGCTTGTGTGAGAATGAGCTTTGCATTGGCTGCAGGATTGGCTCATCTCTGCATGCTTTTGCAGCACAATCTGTGCTGTTTCCTGTGCCTCTGTGTGGGGCGTAGCGGCTGCTGTGCAATGGCCGTCCAAGAAAACTTGATTCAACGAAGGAATGCCATTGGTCAGCCCATCTACATCGCGGACTGCCCTACCTCCACAACTTCTGCAGGGAGTAGGCACAATCCCAAAACGAATTGATCGAATTGCTTGCTGGTCTTCAGACTCAGCCATACAGGTTCCTGGCGGATGATTTGACCTCGTCTTGCATGCGGCGGACTCCCTCGGCCGCTTTCTCCAAGTAAGTCGAGCCCTCCAAGATCTTGGCATCGCTGCTGCGATCCCATGCAGCCAGCATCTTGGCATCGCTCACGACTCTGCGCAGATCTGCACAGCAGAAGTGGTCGCTAGCTTGGGCGGCAGCCTTGACATCAGGCACCTCACCGTTTTTGCAGAGAAGCTCCATGGCTCCGGGGTCGTCCTTGATGTACTTGCGCAGGATCGCATGCTTCTGCCGAGGTTCAGGCAGTTTGGTCTTGAGCCAAAGCTCGATGCGGCCACTCCGGAGTAGCATCTCGGCCATCCAGTGGACATTCTGCCCCGTGAGAACCACAACGACATCACCGGTCTCTCGCTGCCTCTTGCCACGGGATGTCAGGCCATCCATTCGGCCCAGCAGAAACCGAAAGATGTCGGAGCCTCGGTGCCCATCAAGTGGCCGCCAGCCTCCAATCACAATGTCTGCATCATCGATAAAGACGACGGAAGGTGCGGCAGCCTGTGCAGCCGCAAAGACCTTGATAATGTCCGCATGAAGCATCATCTCACGAACCAAGAAGAATTTTCCCTTCAGCCTGTTAGCCAGCCAGCGCCCTACAGTGGTCTTCCCTGTACCAGGCTGGCCATGTAGCAAAACTCCACGCTTCGGGGTCAGTCCAAACTTCTTAGCCTGCTCAGGATTCTCCAGAGGGAACAGCACGTTTCGCTCCAACTCCTCCTTGATACCTTCCAGGCCGGGGTATTCTGCCAAGTCCACTGGCTCAACCTCTTCCGGCGCAACTGCCGACACAGAAACCAGCTCATCCCTGATTGAGCTGACAAGAGCTTCCGTGCTGACACTGCTCTGCTTGGCCAGAACACGAGCGGTGGCTGCTTTCAAGTCCGCAGGTGACAGCTGGGAGTGCAACGAATAGATGGCCTCTTCGTCCACGGACCCCTGTTCTCTCAGCACACTCTTCAAGATCGCACCGTAGTCTTCCACTGTCGACTCTCCCAAGGTCACGACCAGAGGCGTGTTGATGAAGGCTAGGTGCGCATCTTCGACGGAAGAGAAAACGATGACACCGTGGGCAGAAGCTGCTGCATCGCTCAGAGATTTGATGAGCATGGCCGGCGACGGCGCCACTTCCCAGTTGTAGAGATCACCAGCACCCTTGATGTCTCCAATCAACGTGCGAGAGCGACGCACTGAGCGAGGTGCGACCGCAAGATCGAGGTCATCTATCACAGCAAGGCCATGTTTCTCCAGAGATGCTATGGCAGCTGCATAAAGTGCTTTCAGTGCCTGACCCTCCCCTGCATCGTGCGCTAGAGCAGTCGACACTCCAAGAGAAGGCACTCCAAACTGAGTTGCTGCTGACCTGAGTATCGAGGTCACGCCATAGCCACGTCCGAGAGCTGGCGGTGATCGCAACTCCACAAGAGGTGCGGCCTTCGTCTTGATGGCACCCACAAGGAGATCAAACGCCTTCTGCTGCGTCGGGGAAAGCTGAATGATGCCGTTCATGCTGCTGGGCTGGCTCGCCGGATATGGCCGTGACTGAATTTCCATCTCTAGGCACAAAAACGCTGCAAACAATCACGAGGCCTGGAAGACGGAAGTGTCAGAACTCCCTAGATGTGCACTTTGATTTGTTGGCTGCCCACCTGCCTCCGCCTTCGTGCGGGATGGCCCACCTTCTCTAACGGCTGCGCCGAAAGACTCCAGCCTGAACATCACGAAGAACAATGCCCTTTCACAGAATTGCACGCAGTGCTATGCATGTCCTACTTTAGCGGCCGTGCAGCGCATCTAAGACGTGCCTTTGTTTCGTTTTGAAACACAGAATCACACTACAAGCACGAGTAGCAACAGCTGCAACGACACACACAGCCATGGCCATCCGGCTGAAGAAGCGAGAGGACTGCAGGATGGTCTCAGTCTTACATGGTAGCGACAGAGAAAGAGGAAGCAGGTGAGCTGCGAAAAAACATGGCATCGCGGACGCCAGCGAATCGATGAGAGTGCCTGAAAGATTCTGCAAACCTCTGCGAGGGGCTGTCACAAGAAAGTGCACCGAGGACCATGAGGTCAAGAAGTGCTGGGCATGTCATGTCCGTGCTTACAGGATGTGCATAGTGTTCGTGTGATCCTCGAGAAGTACAGAAGCGCTACCAGCATCCTGAGACAGAGACACAGCTGCAATGGAGGTCGAATCCCCTCTTTCTGGCCAGTCTGCCTGCATCAATGTCAAGATGGCCAGACGCTTCGAGGCCACTCTGCGCCACCTCAGCGGGCAATGCTTCTCGGCGAAGAGCCGCATAAGCCTGCCGCTGCCATACGTCTCACAACAACATGCCTGATCGACTCGATCGCTCACTGGAGGGGCGGAGACTGCACCTCGTCCGCTACAACTTCGAAGCTATGATGCCAAAACAGTCCGTCTTCAACCTGCACTACACTCACCACAGACGAGGACTCATCAATGTGACGAGCTAGGGATGCACAGGAGGAAACTTTAGCGGCCTCTCGCCAGACCGTTGTGTCGTCCAATCGCCTGTGCAAAGCCTCGCATGAACCGCAATAGGTGTGGTGCTTGACATTCTCAGCATGTCACAACAAAAAACAGGGCCTCATTGTAGCTAGACACGAAATCGCGGCACTCCTGCAGGATCGCTCGACACACACCGGACAGGCCGCTCTCGTGCTTTCGAAGATCAGCTCCTGGAAGAAGGGCTCGACGTCTTGCTGTGCAACCTAGGCGCTCAGAAAAAGCACCTGCAGTGCGACGTTCACCCTAACCAGGCCTCACTTGCCAAGGCCAACAACTTCTCCGAGTCCTTGGCCAATGATAATAAGCAGAATTATTTTGTGTGTAAGTCTGCAGCTTTCCGTGTCCTGTCCGGCTTCTTCGACCTGCTTCTCTCTCAGGCGCAGTGCGCAGCAAAGGTAAAACCTTGCGAAGGGCCGGGTGAAAACGGAAAGCACTTCCCAGAGAAGCCAACTGCTCCTGCGACGTCTCCTTTTTGTCTGCGCATTGAATACAACACGTTTAAAACGTGAACTTTCTTAATCGGGCTACCTCTATGCACCCTAGCCGAAGCCCAGATGGTTTGCCAGCCACCCGAAGTCCATGCCGAAAATGAGGATAGCCAGTACGACCGAACAGGCACTGAGAAGCTGCTGCGTGCCCAGCTCCTCCTCGAACAACACCGCGATCAACAAAGCCCCAAAGACGGTGTAGACGCCATTCTCCACAGTGGCGATAAGAGCCCCTGAGAAGTAACCTTCTAGAGAAAAGGCAAAGGTACTTATCAGGCCTCCGCAGCCTGAGATGAGTCCACAGAACATGGTGCCGAGCAACAGGTAACGGAACCTTCTGTCCCGAAGGACCATCCGCCGGCTACCACTGTCGCTGGCTAGAACACGACCAAGGGGAACAACGGTGGTCGCCACCATGTAAACAAAGTAAGTACATGTCGTCCATTCATGCTGTTCAGCATCGCTGCTTCCATGCACTCCAATCTTCTTCCCGAGTGGCCCGAAGCCCCAGCAGGTGCCTGCTGCAACCGACAAAAAGACTGCCCTCATGCGAAGGGAAGATGGGGCCACAGTGGAGTTGTCATCCTCACTTTCCATGCCACCATCCACCTTCTTCTCCATCATCTCTGGATCGGACTCTGACTCCTCCGTGTCATCACAGAGCGGGACCGGCTCTCTCTGCCGAGAGGACCTCTGGGCGAGCACAACGCCTGCTAGGATGAAGACAAAGCCGATGTAGGTCTGGGGTTTGAGGTGCTCCCGGAAGTAAAGGGCGATTATCAGAGCACTGGACATAGTATAGGTCCCGTTCTCTATCATCGAGATGAGAGCACTGGAGGATCCAGCAGACCAGGCGAAAGCCACAGTTCCTAGCAACCCGCCCGCGCCACTGATGAGGCCACAACCGAAGATCCAGGGCAGGCGATGGTTCCAGTCCGGATTGCTCCAAGTCCTCGACCAGCCCTCGCTGCCCATCCTAAACAAATCCACAGACGGAGACACCACCGTGGTCAGTGTGTAGACAAAGATTGTAATTGCTGCGCCTCGGAGCACTCGCTCTCCAAACTAGCACCGCTGCGGGTTAATTAGCTTGCTTATGCAGCTCCTCATGCACAAAACCTTGATCCTACGAGTACTACTACTCCAGTAAGACAAGCCCCGTCAACTGAGCGAGATCAGAAGCAGACAAAACTGTACATCCAGGATGCGTACTGCTTTGGTGGCATTGCTGGCTCCTTCGACACCCAAGCGCTTGCCCAAAATTCCAAATGCCCAAAGGAAGCCGCCGGCAGCCGCCAGAAGCAGTGGGGTAGGCGATGCCATCGCAATCCCGAAGCTCACTGCGAGCTGCGGCACTTGGTCGTGCAACTTACTGGATGACGACTATGGCTTCTGACTTTTGGCTCGCACCTGCTGTCTGACTCAAGCCGACCCCATGAACTACAGCAACCTGCATGTCAAAGTTGCTGAACAGCACCCTTCATCTGGACTCACTTTCAGGCAGGAGGCTTCCTAGATGCTTGCAGTGAACCGCAACTGCTGGCAAGAGTAAGGTGATAGCGCCACGGCAAATCAACTTGTCCAGAAATTGCATTCCCATAGGCTCATAGACATCTTTCTGTCAGCCAAACATCTTGTGCACGGGGACGGAGACACGCAAACCTCCAGCGAGCCCTGAATCTTAAACATGCAAGCTTGTAGTGCCGAAGTGGCGCATACCTGGACGCCATACCCTGCTTTCCAGCTACACGGGTGAAGGGGGATCCGGAGTGATTTCCCCACCGTCGGATTCCGCGTCAACTCAACTCTTTAATGGTCTCAAAGTCGTGACTGAGCTCCCACTGCTCCCTGGTTTCTACGTAAAGACATGAACACAAGACTACTGCAAAATGTTTAGAGCTGCTTGCTAGGCCTGCGGGGAGGCAATATCTTAAGTTCATCGCTGGAGGTGGGACGAACGGGGAGTCGGTTGAGTTCGGGACTCCCCCAGCGCCGCTTGCGCCTTTTCGTTCATGAAAACGTGCGGCCTTACCGCGAAGCTCCGGCTCCCAGCTGAAGCTTACACTGATGAAGAGTCAATAGTCTGAGCTTAGCGCCGCTTAAGGTCTTTGCGGTTGCACTTGTCCTGCAGCGGAACCCGAGTGTATGTAGCTCGGCACGGCAGTGTCGTGTAGGCAAGCCACGATGAAGGCAGCGTAACGTGGCAGGCAAACAGCCAGCTTCCTGCCGACACCGTCAGTACAGCAGTCTCCCTCTCAAGGAGCTGAACAGAGACGGGGAAACTTGCCAGCAAGGCTCCCAAGTGCCAAACCTGGACGGATCTGCATCTCTCAGTTCCACGAAGCACAGAGTGCTGGAACTTGGAAGCCGACAGGGATTGTGCATTGCCGGTCCAGGACGGATGCAGCTTGCCAACACAGGCCTCAGCCCGGCTTGTGCCTCATGCCCTAGGGCCTAGGAGTCCTACTTGTAGAATTTCTCCCGGCTACTGTAGGAAGAGCGCATCAGCAACAGCCTGGGCAGCTCCTGGAAGAAGTGGGTGCAATGCATACCTCGCAAGTCTTACACCTTCTTACACCTACACCCACTCCTTCGAAAATACAAAACACTTACAACACATCTCTGCCAGGCCCGGCCTGCCGGTATATTTGGATGCAGCCGCAGCCGCTGCCGCAGCCATGCAGGCTACAGTGTCCTCAGATCCTAGGCACCTGTACCGTGAAACCTCACGGTCTGCGGTCTGAACACACGGTCTCTTTGCTTCAACCTTCAAGGACATATCTTACTGCCTTACATGAAGCAGAAGGAGCTACAGAGCCATTTGCTACCCGCTGAAGCGATGCCTCTTGCAATCTGAATGTGCAGTGAATACTCACTGCCTTCTGCCCCAGAGTGCGAGCGTGCTTTTTCCCAAGAGATGCCTGTCGTGTTAAGCACAAAGAAACTAGTCTTGGAAAGAATCATGGTGCTAAAAGCATCGCGAGGCCCGATTCGAGTTCATCCGGCTTGCGAGCTTCAAGTGCATTTGGCAACATGAAACCATTTGGAGCATCTTTGGCACCAAAATCTTTAGCATGGGAATGAAGCCAATACTTGTTCGCTATATTGCCAGATTCAGATGGCATTCATCCCATGCAGCCGGCTCTCACCTCTTTGGATGACCTGAAGCAACTCGAGTTTGAACCCACTTGCAAACCGATGTTTTATCTGGCTCGCGCCATAGGTTGCGGTTCCAGACAAAGAAACTTTCATTGTTGTTAAAAGCCCTTGGAGTACAAAGTCTTACATCGTTGTCGCGATCATGCTTCGAGAGGTTTCGGCAAGCAGGCACCAGATTGACATCTTGTTGGAATGTGTTGCCATCCAGACGGGTCTATCCATTCGTCTGCTTACCTGGCTGCTTGACTACGTCGCGAGTGTGTAGATTGACTTTTTGCTTGCCATATCCAGAATGTTTCGCACGGATGTTTAGGGGAAAATTGGCTAGTGCGAAAATCTGAAAACACTTCGGTCCTGCACCATCTCCCCACAGCACTTTTACATTCCGAACTCTGGAATCCGTTGCAACACAACCTCGCAGTCACGTCTTGTGCCAAGCTGATGCTTGACAACTTGGTCTCCTCGACGAGCCAATGAGCGCGGCACGAACCGCTTCAGGTGTCGCCACCAGGCCACCGAAATCGTGGCTTGGGCATGTGTGTGTATATATATATATGGATGCTCCAACCGACTGATGCACGACATGGACTTTATCATAGTTTGGGCACTGATGCTCTAAGCCACCCGGTGGAAGGGACATTCTCGTATGTTGGGCATTTTGCCCTAAGCAGCGGAGACACTGGCAGCATGGACGTCATCATACTGTGGGCTTGGCGATCTGAGCAGTGAAGGCACTGAAGGAATGGATGTTCAAACACTTTGAGCATGGATGCTCTGTGCAAGGGCGGCCTTGGTGGAATGGTTATGACTTCGGCAGGGCTGCCCCCGCTGGAAAAACCGCGGCGGCAGGGATGGATGTATATAGAATTATGGTACGATCTCATCAAGACCAGTGGCTGTGGCAGCAGAGTGTCGTTGTCCTTCTTGAGATAAGACTGGCCTTCAGTGACTCAAAGGAAGCAGCCTGTAAAGGGTAACACCAGTCAGTAGGAAGTCTCTGGGATGCATGCTCCTGCGCTCGAACTTGAAGGATTCGAAATGCAGCTGCTTGGTGATGACAAACCTAGCAACATCTGCCCATGAAAGAGGAGAGCCATAGGTTATAGGACTGCCTCTTCCAGGCAGGGACCAACAGAAGGAGAAGGACCACGACCAGCAGAGGCTCCACGACTTGCTTCTCGCGCTGCCTGCGGACAGGACATGAATCATCTCTCGGTTGGGACATGGTTGGACGTTTGCAGAGACTTTCCTGAGGAAGCGGCCCATGCGCGACGATCGACACTGCTTTGTCGAAGCATGTCTCCCAGGAAATGCCAATGATGAGCCCAGTGGCTGTGACGGCACTCCTTGTTGAACAGTTTCGCTGCAGGCGAGACAGGACACGAAGCACAAGACTTGTCCGATAGGGCTAGGATTCTTGCTTGAAAGATCGACCAAGCGATCCGAAACGCGTCAGACCTGGAATCTAAAACGATATGCAAGACGCGAACATGGGACACACTTCACAACTTCAGGTTGGTCGAAAGCGAGAAACTGCCGCAGGCGGCTTTTGGGCTAGGTCCGCAGCACAAGTCTTCAAGCTTGTCCAGGAACAGAACGACAATGTAGCCGAGCAGGGACATGACGAAAGCCTTACGGCGTGACTCAGGTTCAGTGGCTTGTCGCAACAAGGCTTTCTAAAGCCTGGCACCCACGACAAACCCAAACCGAGAGATATTATGTCTTTAGTATCACGCCAGGGGCCTGCACGTGCAGACATGTGAGTTGAAACATCAAGTCTTCGCCAGAGTTGGGGGCCAGCCGTTGCTGACTGTGCTTTGTTGTGAGCTGGTTTGCGAATATCGCGGAAGACTCCTGCTTCCAAGTTGCTGTGATCACGTGCAGAATCATGGAGCCCGGCAGGAACCCGATCACACGGTTCTGAGGGCAGTTCAGGGACTAACTCATGCGAGTTTGTCGTAGCTGCTGACCATGTCATCATGGGAGCTGCTAGGCATTAGGCAAAGAAGAGCCTTGCTCAGGTCAGTATTGGTCCAGCGCACAGCATGAATGATGCACCAGCCGAAGGCCATCGCCAGTGTACACAAGACCATATCACGGACCTGCGTGGCGGTGTGGGGACCGGTGCAGGGGAGTGGTCCCAGCTCCAGCCTTTGCCCGCCAGGACTGCTCGCTGTAGCGCGGGCGCCAGAAGAAAACCAAAGCCACGGAGGCTGCCTTAGAGAAGCCACGAACACAGGCTGCCAGGCAGCAGAGAGGGAAGCACAGCACAAAGAAGAGGGTAGAGAAAGCTGTGTATCCCAGTCACGAAGAGCAGACCTCCTAAGATGAAGATAATCACTGCTTTCTTGAGGTCCACCGTGGAAGGCAACTGGAAGCCTGCACAATGCCAGCTGCCAAGCATGAGCAAGCTTTGCAGCATCTTGAAAAGTCTTGAAGTCGAGGCCTTCAAAATCACTCGGTTCACCTGTCACCGCATACCCGAGGCACAAGACCAGCATATAAGAGCATGATAGCGAAAGCACCTCAGGCGGCCACAACAGGTGCCAGTGGCATGGCTGCCAGCTTTGCATCCACGGCTGAACTGCGCCAGGACTCGTCCACTTCAACATCATCCACTTCGTCGAAGTACAGATCGACCAACTTTTCTGGCTTTCCGCCACAGCGAACCATCCTGTGGCGGCCGGATCTGAAACAAGCACAGCGGCACAGCACAAAATCCCCTTCTTTTCTACGATGGGCGGCTCGAGAACACGAAAGATGAGGAAGAGAAAGGCAACGTGAACGAGCACTGACAGCCTCAGATGACGACACAGTCTTGAGTCTTGAAACCATGCGAAAGAAGTGAGTTAAGGCCGCACTCGTCTGTCCACGTGCTTCCAAGACACAGACTACAGAGAGCATTCTGCCTGAAGAAAGGAAAATGCTGCAACATGACCTTTGTCCATGGTGAGGTTCTGCCTCCTCTGCGACACATGCATGTCAACCTAAAACGTTTGAAAGCAACCATCGGATAAGTATGCAGCTCGCAACATCCTTTGCACAACTCTCGGGGACATAGTCGACATACTGCTTTATACTGCATTCTGTCAAGGCACACCTGCGCGGATTGCTGCGAACGCCGTTACGTGCGACAGGAAAGCTGCTATGGTCTTCAGGCCTAAGATAAGCACGTGCATGTGCAGCAGCAGTGGAATGCTGTGGATGGATCAATGCTGAATTTAGTACTCGATCGCTATGCTTTCGGTCCCAGCTCAGGCTTTCTTGAGTGCTACGCCAAAACAGAATAACCGAATCAGACTTGCACTGTCCAGCTGCGAAGCTCTATCTTCTCCAGCGTCAAATTCCGATGCCTGCGAGCAGCGGGACAGGCAACATTTTAAAACGCTGGATTTCCACCCAAGTTATGATTCAGCTCGGCTCTGCCTCAGAAAAATCGGATGTCTGTCTTCGTCTGTTCCGATAGCACGGCCCCATCCTTGGTCGAGACTCAGCCTTTCGAGCGGCGCCCGCTTTGTGCAAGCAAAAGATTTGACAACCCTGACTGTCAGGCAGCAGGCGCTTGTAGACGATGCAAGCGGGATCGACTATGTCCTTACAGGAAAGCAGGCTACCGGAAATGCTCGCAAAACTCATGAACCTCCGGAAGCAGAGGCCTTGTGGCTAGCCGTTACTGGATCGTCAATCACCCAGTCTTCCTGACGTTCTGACAGTGAGGCAGGCCCTCACACTTGACAGTGATTCTCTGAAGAACACTTCTTCTTGAGACGTGGCACAAACTCCACATCCTCGTGGTCTATGTCGGCGCATAACAAACCGGCAGAGAAGCCTTCCGACATCTGCAAGGACAGCAAAAAACACGAAGAGAGGCTTCATGCCGATGTGCCTACTGCCAGCTGCATGGCGACGAAGAACACCAGAAACCTAGGCACGTTCAGCTGCTCCCAAACAAAATCAGCTCCTCACTTGTGGCCCATTTGTGCGTCATGGACAAACACATCGAGCGACAGCCCATAGTAGAAGGCACACCTGAAACCTGAGCAAAGACATCAAAACACTCACCATGTCACAAAGTGCAAGCCGTTGCCTGAAGATTCGACGAACAGGAAAGACTGCAGCCATGTAACCCACGCTTGCTTCACTTGGGAAGACAAGGCTTTCTAGACTTCTCGCGGTCTTGTGAAAGAACAACAAAGAGGCCAGGATCGACATTGCTGTTCCTGGAAAGATTGGTGAGGCCGTACCAGCAACTTCTGCGCTTCATGAACTATGCCGCTAAATATCTGCTTGGGCACCAATGACAATCCAGCCGTAGTACCTAACACCATCATCTGGCCAGCTGACAACATAAAGGGTCCTCGGCTGCGTTGCGGCAGCTCGACCGACTGTAAAGCCGTACACTGAAAGGTACTCTGTCAAGCCGCACACCGACGAAAGTCACGGCAGAAAGCAGTGTGTAGGCGACTCCCTCGCCTTCACTCGAAAACTCCTTGCAAGGTCTCGGCCATGACCAAGAGAACGTCTCATGTCAGGACGCAAACCCAAGCATGCACCAGCAGGCCAATATGGCTGTGTTTTTTGAAGAGCATGGGTTTGATAGATGTTATGCTGGTCCTATGTGGAAATGCTATTCCGACTTTTTTGAAAGCCCGTCCGTCCTCCCGCTCGACCTGAGCAGCAGGGAATGGCAGGGAAGGTAACTGAGAGCAGCGGAATACAACAAGGACCCTGGTTGGGCCTTCAAGCAATCCCGGGCTCGAAACATGCCGAGGCGCTTCCTTGCGTTCCAGCTCGGCCTGTGAGATCGTTGCGTTTGCCTCAGGAACGAGGCTCCGGAGCATCCCAAACACAGGAATCAGCTCCGAGGACTTTCGCTGCACATGCACCAAGCAGCGAACGCATCGCTTGCGAACATGCAGACTTCCTGAGCCCTTGGCTGAGACCTGCAGTTGCCGATCGGGCCTGAAAGGGCAGAGACGAGTTGTGGACTCCAAACGCTGGCAGGGACCCAGGAGCCTGCCCGCCAATTGAGCCTCGCCATGAGGCTCAGCCGCAAGACAAAGACAGAGCAGTGCCTTGCAGAAGGAGACTCGGAGTGCAGAGGGTGCAGAGGGTTCTTTCGAGTAAGCGCCGTGCATACAAGAGCCCACGGGCCCGAGAGCCAGGACACCACATAGGGGAAGCGCTGCCCTCGTCTGTGGCCCTGAAAGAAAAAAACAGCTTCGGAGGGCATCGGAGCTCGAGAGGACAGGTCCAGGACTGCCTTCCATTCCCTCGAAAAGTATGCACAAAATGGGCGCATCAGCGGACAGCCAAGCACTTTTTTCTGAAAAATTCCCCTCGGAAGGGCGCTAGTGTCTTGTCAAGACATGCTCTTGCTGGATGCTGAAACCTCCTCTCTGTTCTCCATCTATGAAAGACGCGCATCTTGTGAACTCCTAGTCCAACTCGCTCCTGGACGAAACCCAATTTGGCTGACAAGCTATCTGCAACATTCTGGAACCTGAATTGGTCATGGACTGTAGAGACACTCGATCACATCTTCCACGTACTGTACAGCCTGGAAGCTCTTGAAACAGCTTCCGGGCTTGCGCATGAAACTCCAGCTACCTAGCCACACACCTAGCCACACGCAAAAGAACTAGAGTAGTTTGAGGGTGCAGTTTGCTGCCAAGTCAGCAACGTCAGCTTGCTCAAAGCTGCGCCCTGCCAGGCTTGCTCGAATTCGAAATCGAAGCAGAACATGCAGCCTGAATCTAAGCCGCCTGCAGACTGAGCATGTTCTTATACATGTAGGAACTCAGGCGCAGGGAATGCCCAAAAGGCAGAACCCCCTGCAAACATGTTTGTACAGAATGTACAAGAGCGTGCATCCTACTGCTGCATGCTGTCAATGGAAGAAGACGGGCCCAATGCATGGACACCTCTTGTGCGATTGAATTTGTATGTTGCAGCCGATTGAATTACACAACTTCAAAAACTACCAGCAGCTAGGGTGACGGACAGCCTCCGGGCAGGTTTGCCTGCTGGCACCTTTTCCGGCCAGTGCGAAACTGATTTCTAGCGCGGCGGCCCGCCCGGAAGACTCCTAAGTTCTAATGACTCTGGCCCGCGACATAGAAGATCATCCAGCAAGCACCTGAAGTCAACTTCAACTCGGAGTCTAAATCCCTGACGAACTCGTGACACAAGCTTGCGTACGGCAGATACAGGAACATTCGGTGGCCTTGCGCTCAAAGCTGTCGGTCAACTTCGGCATGAAATCCTGCTTCCGCAGGCCGGTCTGGAAATGTTGCCAACAGCATGCGACAACCCAAATCGGCCTCCTCTAAACGAGAGCCGCGGAGACCACTCAGTACCTGCCAACCACAGTGCAGACAGCCGCAGCCTCGTTCAGAAAATCTCCACCAAAGGCATGGCGCACCATGTTTTGAAATCTATGCACGGGCCAGTCGTACTTCGGCAAGAACTCTCCATGCATACCTGGAGTAGAACACGGGGAGGCCACAACCCTCTCGCCAGAGTTCCGACGGCCTTGACTGTCAAGGTTGCTAAGTCCGACTTGCAGATTTTCAATGGCAACCACGTCCTCCCAGGCCAGCCGTGCTGTATGCTGCTGTTGTTTGCCTCTGCGCGTATGTGAATTGCCAATCTCTTTGTGGCTTTTGCCAGTACTGTACTGGTTTGATGCTGCCTTTGCCTTCTCTCTTTAGAGCAATCAGCTTGAGCTATGTAGCGAACCCAACGTATTTCGTTTTTCGACCGTGTGCCCTTCCAGAAGGACGGCACTGGTAGTAGGAATCATAATTATTAAGCACCTTCTCTTCCCCAACATCATGCCCAAGATTGCTACATCCTCAGTGTCAGTACTATTATCATCCGCGGCAACAACAGCAACAACAACATGGTTGCTGCGTTTTAGAATTCATCCTTCAATCACAGATGCTGCTGTCAATCGCAATTTGGGTTCCTCGTGTTGCCATGGCTATTGCATGTTCAAAGTAACATTGCGACTGCTATTGATTAACTCTACGCTGGTCCCTGGCTACTATGACTGCTGCTGCTGATGTTCCTGCTCCAACTCCTACGATTACCACTACCACTACCGCTGCCACTGCTGCCACTACTGCCACTACTGCCACTACCACCTTTGTACACCACTGCTACTGCTTCTGCTGCTGCTTCTGCTACCTCCTACTATCTTCTCATGCTACTAAATACTCCTGCTTCTACTGCCTGCTACTGCTGCAAGCCTTCCCGGCGGTCACTTGCATTTGGATCTGAGCTTCTGCAGCCTAAGCTCGCATGGCCAGACAACATGAGGTTCTCTTGCTTTACGGCGTCCTTTTCAGGGCATGCTTATAATCATCAAAGTATACTTCCTAAGGTCTGCACTGTGTTCCCTGCGTTCTGAAACCTCGGCAATGTGTTCAAAACTGTGTTCAGCATTTACGAGGGAAGAGAAGGAAAATAACACTGTCGCTCCAAAAGCTTCCGGTTAAGACACGGAAAGCACTGTAACTTTTGGAAATCAAGGAACAGATAAATAAACGAAAAAAGAAAACCAGAACAACAAAAAAGAAACATAACAGGTGGGCGTGGGAGGTTGTTTGCTTGTGTTTGGCTTTTGGTGTGTTTCCAGACCGTTTATGTGTCCTTGTGTGTTGTTCTTTCCTGTTCTATTTTTGGCTTATTTGTTTTTGAAGCAATCCATGTCTTAAGGTTACCGGTGTTGTCTAGTCTTGGCTTTGCTGTTTCTAGCTCAACAAAAAGCTTAATGGAGCCATTTTCGAGTGATGGGTGGTGTTGCGGCAAACTCCGTGGTGCCAGAAACCAACTGTCGGAAGACTAACTATGCAAGATGCAGTCAAACAGGTTCTTGGAGAGACCATAAGGACGCTTAATTAACATAGTAGCCGTCCAGTAGCGAGAGGAGCAATAGCTGTAAACGTAGAGGTATAGCAGTATCAGTGGCAGCAGAAGCAGCAGCAGTAGCAGGCAGTAGAAGCAGGAGTATTTAGTAGCATGAGAAGATAGTAGGAGGAGGTCGCAGAAGCAGCAGCAGTAGCAGCAGCTGCAGCAGTAGCGGTGGTGTACAATGGTGGTAGTGGCAGTAGTAGCAGTAGTAGTAGCAGTAGTAGTAGCAGTAGTAGTAGTAGTAGTAGTGGTAGTAGTAGTAGTAGTAGTAGTCGCAGTAGTCGCAGTAGTCGCAGAAGT